TGTACCAGGTAGCAGCTGATTGTATGGGTACACCTTTATTCCAGTCTTCCCTGCTTGGTATCTTAATTGAGAACTTATTGTTAAAGATATATCTTGTAGCTGTTGCATCGATAGGTTGCCCCATCACAATATTGGCTTTGAGCTCCTCGATTAGCTATCTACTAATCGAGAATATAACTCGAGAATCTACTACTAGAAGAAGAATATAAAAACAACGGAATGGAAATAAACTTAGAAAGAGTCCTTAGAAAGTTGGTATGATTAGCACAGATGTACATTGAGAACTCATTTACTCAGATCAGAAATGGCACGTCAGAACCACCACATCAAACAAATTTTCTTAATGACACTGGTCTTAGGCAAACTCCTCTTATCTCTTTAGTTAACTAGTTAACTTTGCCTTGGAATATGGTGTAAGAAAATCACAGCCAGAGATGACAAAAAACCTTTGCTGCCCAGGGATCAAAAATACTAGTGGCTTTTGCTGACGAAGTAGACATATTTGCCCAATCCGTGAGAGCTGCAAAGAAAGTCTTCACCCTATTAAAAAAACGGGTATTTATAGCTATAGTTAGATCCAAATTGAGGATAAAAAAAGTTATGACAATAAAACAGATTTTAAAAGAAGTTGTATGTAATTAATTGTTACTTTCTATATATAGGACAACTTGGTTTTCTTTGCGAAGAATGTTTCAAGACATTAGCAAAAAATATGTGCACAACTATATTATTGAAGATCTCTAAACTTGGCAAATGTCACTTGATCTCTTCTTCCAAACTTCCTCTATTACCTTCGTTTAAATTAAGAAATGTTTGCAAGCTTTAATATCTAAATTTTTTAATTAAATAAAATCATTTAGTATAATATATAAAAGTATGTAATACATGTCTTCTATTTTTGGTACCAAGTTTTCACTTGCGTTTCGCTGAGATTGAGTGCATCAGCAACATCACTTCGATCGGCAACGGAAAAATACTTTTGACACCGAAATTTTCGTTTTAGGTACGCCAACTAAGCGTGCGGAAATGCGGTTCTTCTTCTGCGAGGTTTAAAGAAAACTCCGGCTATAAAGAAAACTCCTTTACTGGGAGACGCAACAATTGCTGCTGCCGATGGAGGCACTGTAACTTTTTATATCCATGGAATTCTCACTATCCGTCTGTATATATACATTTCAAAGGCATCTTTTCTTTTTTTGTTTTCAGAGTCCATTGTCCAACTTTCACAGCCATACAGCAAAACAGAGAGAAACGTAATATCTGATCATTCGAATTCTAAGCTCTAGATTAAGGTCTTTTTTGGGGTTACACTGCTATAATACTACAAATACTACAAATGTACGTTTGATGGTATCTTTCAAAACACTAGAATTATAGTTTTGAAAACATTAAGATCTAAATGAACATTTCGCTATGACAAACTACCACATTTATTATATTTTGTAGTTCTTGTGCGCTGCTTGCTATTTGGACGATATCATCAGCGTACCTGATGTTGTCTATGCTGATTTCGTTAATCTGGATTCCACCTTAAACCTCCTCTAATGCTTTTCTGAATATAGATTCAGAATACAGATTAAATAATAGCGGTGATAAGACGCAACCTTGCCGCAATCCTTGTCGGATTCGTATATCTTCGAATGTTTGTGCTCTATTTCAATTGTTGCCGTTTGGTGCTAATGTAGTTCTGAGATAATTCGCAAGTCTTGTTAGTCAATTTCCGTTGTTCTCAGAATTTCGGTCATCTTCTAATGGTTGACGCAGTTAAATGCTTTTTGATAATCAATTAAACATGCATAGACATCTACATCAATATTCTTTGTATATGGATGGTTAATTCAAAACCTTTGAGTTACTCATTGACTAGTGCAATCTATCGTTTATTTCTGTTGTAAAAACCACGTTGTTCTTCTTTATTGGCTTCGATAATATCATCATCTCATTTTATTGATTTTGATTATATTAAATTTATCTTAGCCTAATAAACAATATCTCCTTCTCTCACCGCCACTGGTTCAGCGTAAAAAAGGTTATCAACAACACTTCGGGCTTGGGTTCGCATAAAAAAAAGTTACGGCTCTTTTTTGATGTTATATAGTTCATTTGCTATAAATTGTTATACCGATAAGAAAAAGTGAGCGAGAATCAAAAAGATTATGCCGATTTATGCGTAAGCATATTGGAGAATTACCTTAAGAAAAACTTGGAAGACGACGTCTAAAAATTCGTAAAGGTAGCGATTTGTATGGAAATTCACAGGCAGAGTTATTAGAGAAATTGAATACTGTGGATAGGGTAGTTTCTAAAGGGTATATAGCTTAGGAATTTCGACTTTCTATCGATGAATTATAAAATGGTCTGAAAATATAAAACCAACGTCTTCTATTATCTTACACCCTTCTCTGTTTCTTTCTTAGATATCAATTCGCTACAACTACTTCTACAAATTTTTAAATTTCCAAAACCTTAAATTTTTTGTTACCGATGTCCTCATCAAGTCGACAATAATCTACTTACCTCTCGCAAACTTGTACTAACATAGAAAAATGTTTACTTACCGTCTAGATCTCCAGCATCCCTAAACAAACTAACTTGCGGTAAAGACTGTTACCAATTCAACCAAAACCTAATCCGGTATTACTTCGTTGTCGTCCCTAGATAAAGTGGCGAACTCCTTGAATGCTAACTTGGTTTTAGTGAGTTTCTGCGGCTTGCAGGATACACATACTCGCAGTCATATGGCACAAGAAATTTAAGCTTTTCAAGTTAAGGTGGGTGCTAAACGAGATGTCGTTATTTAGTTTTAATATTTGGAAAGACAAGTCAACGAATAGAAAATATTAAAGATAATTTTCGCTCTAATTACGAGTATACAGGGTGTCCCCTAATTAATTGGACATAAGCTAGTGGGTGATAGCTTAGATTAAAATAAAGCGTTTCAGCTCAAATTGCTTAGGCAAAATGTTGCTAGTTTTCGTTCTACAGGGTTATTCATTGATATTTTTTTATATTATTTTTAGGGATATATTGAAAACGATTTAACCGATTTAAGTGAAATTTATTATCTTGCTATGATTTAGTATGCTTAATATGAAAATGATATTAGTTTTATCATTGACACTAGGTGGCGCCACCTACTATAACATTGGTTCATTAATGTGGTCATATTTTTTTGTCCGCCCTGTATAAACATTTTAGGAAAAAAAACATGCAAATCCATTCAATTTCACACAAAAAATGGTTATTTTAAATAATGAGTTTCTTTGGGCCCTAATTAAGTTAACTCCCTCTACAGTATTTTGCCATAACTTTTGACGGTTATTTTTTTTATAAGCAAGTGACTCTAGGTAGCCTCACAAGTAAAAGTCTAGGGGATTAAGTTCGGGACAGCGAGCTGACCATGGGTGGTATACAATACCTCTAACAATCCACCTTTGAGGATAAATTTCATCTAGAAAATTTCTAACTTCTAGGCTATAATGTGGTGATGCACCATCATGCATGTACCAAATGTTACATATCAAATTTAGAGGTATGTCTTCTAAAAGACTTGGTAAATTTTCCATTAAAATATTTAGATGCAAAGATAAAAAAATAGAACAAACATAAATTTAAACATTTTCTAGATTTAAAAATATGAATCTTTCTTATGACACAAACATTAGTTCTCAGTATTTCATAAATCTAAACATACTGACACAACTATACATAATTTACCATTTCATTCTACACAAGATAAATAAGCAACCGACGATAGCAGGTTGTACAGATTAACAGAAATTCCTATTAAAAAAATATAAGTTCGAGATAGAATTGAATGTCACTAGGCAAATAGCAGTAAACAATAAATAATGCAGTTTTAAACCAAAAACTGGATAAGAAAGACATAAAATTAATCTTTCCATCACCAGAGAAAAAACTTAATACCTTTTGTTTGGTAATATATACAGCACAATATCAACAAACACATTAAAAAAAGAAAAAAATTGCACTAGCTTTCAGAACAAATTCAGAACAAACAAATATATTAAGAACAACAAAATCCAAAATAAAGCACTCACACTGGGGTGTATAATAAACTTATATGTGGTGACTGTCCAAAAACTTACATCGGTCAAACCGGTAGCACTTTTAAGAAACGTTTAGCAAAACACAAAGGGGCTTTCAACAAGACAAAAAGAGATTCTACGTACGCACGTCTTTTCAATTGCCAATTTTAAATTACCCATATTTAGAATAGAGCCGTAACCTATCTTTGTTAGGATCTCTGGAAATTAGCAAAAAATTATACATCGCTTGAGAAAAGTACTCTGCTAAAACAGCTGTAGTGAAAATTACTTGTAATTAATTTTGTGAAGGTGAGAAAAACAAAATTTTTAGTGTTTTTACCCCTATATAAAATAACGTTTTCATTAAATACCTGTCGAATATATCATTTAAGTAACTATTTGATTACTTGCTCAACTTTTAAAAACAAATTAGTCAATAAATAGAAAACACTTCAACCTATGTAAAAGTTTTCGAGTCAATTTCCCCTGTATCTTGTTAAGAATTTATTCTACCCTGTACATGATACAACTAACAAATTACGAAAGAAGGACACATCCATAAAAGTATTTAACAAGCGTTAGGAATATTTTGTCGTTTACATTGTATTACACACACCATAAATGCTGAACGTCTTGTTTATTTTCAGATACTTCCAGAAAAGCATGTCGGCGAAGATACAATGACGATAAGGACAAAATACCATTACCCGGCCCCATTGGATGTAACGACGAAGCCATATAAAAACTAGGAATGTAAATAATCCGTATTTATCGTTTTATTTCATCGCGCGCGGCAATTTATGTAATGATCCAAGCATGATTCCGATCATAACAATCCTACGACATGACCTTCATCGGTTACGACGCTTTATATTTCCACAACGAACTAATACCTTTATATTTATCTATGGAATTGCGTTCTCTCGTTAAATCAAACCTGGCATGTGACCGATGGAAAATACGGAGGAAGCTTGTGGCGTCATGAGCAGCAATTCTGATCTGATGGCTCCCGCCATAGTCTCACAGAAATACGATCCAAATGTAGATTACGTAATCAACGAATACATGGAGAGGCTAGGCACTCGGTTAAATATCCTAGAGACGGAACTGAAGTATGCGTGGAGAGCCTTAGATCTCTTGTCTCAAGAGTATGTTAAAATGTGGGAGAGGTTGGAGAAATTAGAAGGTTTGCTCTATGAGCAACAAAGCGTTATATCACAGCTGCTAGATTTTTATACTTCAGGTGGGGCGTCAGCTAGTCAAGTAGCTACAGCATCCTTGGAAGGAAAATTGGGCGAGTTGGAAGTGATACGAGAAATTTTAGGCAATGGTGCTGTCGAAGAAGGGTTAGAGGAGGGGTTGGATGTGACGTTGTCCCACGATCAGCAGCAAAGCATTCAGGAGCTTGAGATGGATACAGGAATTGATGAATTGCACGTACCTGACGAGGCTTTTTACAAAAGCCTTAATCAAGCCTATAGAGAAGACTTAGTGGGTGATGATTCCAGTTATAGGATAAGTCAATTAGGTATGATATGGGAAGAGAGAGAAGAAGGCAGTGAGAATGGGGAGAGAAAAGCTATAGATCCTTCAAGTAGACTGGAAGATAGGGAAGAAATCTATTCTGCCTTAGACTATAAAGATTACAGAGGAAACTCCCCTTGTGTTAGTGAACAAGACTTAGCTCAATTAACAAAAATAGATTCAATTGATCATTTAGCTATTGAAAAATTAGATGAACTGGATAGACTGAGTAACAAGTTACATCAAGATTCAGTAAATATAAAACATCTGAGAAGAAAACTAATGGAATCTCCAATTTCCATTAATGAAATCGAAGAAGAACAAATAGACGTCAAAGAAGCCGCGGATTTGTCAAATATAGATGAAACTTTACAACAAATGTATCCGGAGGAACAATGGAGCTTTTCTAGTGGTATTAAAGACAAAAATGAATTCTTATTACTAGCAAAATCCGATCTACCCGGTCTTATATCAAACGTTTCATACTCCTCCAAATCCAGTTCCAGATTTTCTTTATCAGATGCAGATAAAGAAGTTGCTGAAACGTTAGGGGTAGAATCCAGGAGTCCAACATCACCACGTCGACGACAAACAGAAATAAATACTTCAAGTGAACCTTTTACTACTGTGACTGGTAGACTGGCCTATAGTGCTGCTGTGCAGCATGCAGAAGAAGCCGAAGCTGCGGCAGCAGCTGCTATGGTTATACAAAATTCTAAAAATCCTTTTTATTGTATGAGTCCTGGCCTTAATTCATTACTACCCGCTACATATGAAACGGTATCTTCCTCGACGCCTAATGTATATAGTGTTAGATCTGAAAAAACTGCATCACCTACACTATCTATATGCAGTATAAGAACAAGGCAGGATGGATATGTAGACCCACCTGGACAGCAGAGTATTAGTAAAAGTCATAGTCCTCCACCTCCGCCTGCACCTGACGCAACAGAAAACTTTTTAAGTATGAACAAGGCAGCTAGCTCCACAAATGTTTTTTTGGATACATCTGATGGACCGTCAATTAACCAAAATGAACGATTGAGTCCGAAACCTTCACATCCCCCAAGTCTACTAAATCATCTCCAAGGCGAAGCAAATCTCATTCTTTGGCAGCTGCGAAGTCTGATTCCGGTCTATCATCAATGAGTGGCTGGTCCAGTCTTGAAAAATCGCCAGGATCTCCAAAAAACTCTAGAGCAAATTCCTATGCTGAAGGACGGCACAGCAGTAGACTCGTTTCACCTGTACACAATCAATACGGATCAGTACCAGGCAGTTCTAAACCATTTACGGAATCTTCGTTAGATTCTAAATTATCAAACTCTTCAAATTTTTTACCAGGAGGCCATCATCTCTCTGCCTTTACTACAGTTAAATCGCCTTCAGGCCTTGAAACAGTAGAAGGATACGGAAATTTTGTACCAGCCCCTGCTCCTGCGTCCGATATTAACGTTAGTCCAAACAAGAAGAAAGATAAATCGCCAGCTTCAACTAACGAAGAAAGAGCTTCTGGTATTTCTATGTATAGGTACGATCAACCAGCAATATATTCAGTGGCTGGCAGCAACAGAGATTCTTATACCTCTGTTTACACCGGAAACACCGATTACAATTGCCAAATAAATTATCCCGACTTAATTGAGCCTTACGAAAACAACGAATTTTTCAGTTCACAAAAAAACTATTATCCCTCTCCATCGTACATGCCTTATTCAGGTCCTAGTGGGAATGTGTCTAGATATAAGTCGTCCACCGGTAGAGAGACTGAGGATTTTTCCAACCATGAAGGGTATAAAACTGCTATGTACAGAACTATGTTTCCGTCTGGAAATATAACTGACGCGTTGTCATATTATCCGACATCGTCAAGAACTGACACTAATTATGGAGAGCAGGAAATTTGGATCAGCTATGATCCTGATGATAGACACGAAATGTCCGAAGCTGCTTATCCCCCAAACGTAGATAGAACTCGGCAATATGAATCTCAGCCCCCTGCGTACGAAAATCAATCATCAGAGCAACAAAAACAGTGGAATCAGCGCAGGAAATACCTTACCTAGACTTAGACCTTCGAAATAAAAATTTACCAGAATATGTAGTTCAAACGCAGCATGGTCAAAATCTGTATTATGATACTGGTGGGATTATAATGACTCAGTCAGGATATATTACTATATCGTCTGGTACCGACACCAGACCTCACACGACTGAAAGCACCAAAAAAGTAAAAAGGTCAAATACTCTTAAATCAGCTATGAGTTCTGTTAGTCAATGGTTGCCTAATCTAAACGTTACGAAAAGAAGTAGATCTCACTCGCTGCCTGGGATAAAAAGAGATGCAATTAAAGTAAATTTAAATAAAAAGAAAAAGAAAAACAGCATCGTCTCGACAGTTTCTGATATAATACAAAAGGCTAAACGACGAGGTAGTCTATCACATCAGTACTCATCTTCGTACTCAGATACCGAACATTCTGAAACAGAGTGGTCAACGGAAAAATCTAAATCTGTAGCATCAGAAGACGAAAGAAGCGAAGATACTACTAGCATCTTTTCAGAAAGTAACATAGACACTGACAGTGATTTTACGACAAGCGTAGACAACGGAAAGTCAAGAAAATTTAGTCAGCCCGTTACAGATATATTTCCTTTGCAACCTTTATTTGAAACTGATGCACCAGGCAGTGATGATATGTCAGTACGAAATGTAGAAGCCGACAGCGAAGGAAATATTATAAATAATAGCACCGTTCCATTTTTGACCCGAAAAAACTCGATACACTCAGAAAATGAAGATACTAGTGGTAAAGACAACAAAATGGTGGTTGTGGTAGGAGCAGGTGCTTCTATGGAGTTTGCTGTATCTAGAGCACTAGGAAAATACAGACAAAGGCAATCAAATTCATTTTCTGAGGATCAAATATTTAATGAAGAAGACGAAATTATAATCGAAGATATTACAGAAGAACGAGACAATCAATCTGAATCAGCGCCTCAAATGGAAAAAGTTCTTTCAGAACAAAAGTCTACAGATAGTCAGACAAGTTCTGATAATAACAAACCAACGATCATTGATAGAACTGAAGAGCCAGTCTCTGAAGATAGTCCTTCTACCATTAGTATTAAATCACATACGAACCGTTTTTTACCAAAGCAGCAGCAAAGTCTAGAAATACCTGGAAGTAGAGATGACGATGATGTAAGAAGTACTCATTCCTGGAGAAGCACTTCTAGAGTTTCTTCCAGAAGGCAAAGCACTGAAGACAGCATTGACAGTGAAGATGAATGGTATTGTTACGAGTTAAGAAAACTAGAAGAAATGGAAAGGCAGAACCAGCTAGAAATTGAAATGGGTACTACTTTACATGAAGAACCTGAACCAAGCGACGAAGAGTTAGAACCAGGTGAAGAAGTCAAGGAAAGAATGAGTTTTGTTTTGCGAGAACTAAGAATGAAAGCAAAAATAGTGCAGGGTGTCCTAGACGAAAAAGAAAATAATCTACTAACGGTACAATCTCGCAAGAAAAAGGACAAAGATGAAAAACGATCGTCGTTTCAGCTAGACAATGCTGCTTCGTTATTCGAGAAAATAAAAAACTATCATCACGATGAAGAAGAAGAGGGGTTTTTAGATAAAAAATTTGACCGTTTAGAAGTTCACAGTCCCCATGAGAAAGAAGAGCACAACTCATCCGGAAATACTTCCGGCCCAGATAGTCCCCACAGTACCGACGAATACGACGAAGCTGAAATGGCCATCAACGACGAATTCGCTCTATGTCACGTCAATAAAGAAAAACAAGAGGAAGAAGACAAAAAACTAGAATTAAACGTTACCACACACGAGACAACGGAACAGAAAGTAGTACCAACGATTACCTTGGAATCTTCAACGCCGGCGAAAGAGGACAAAGAGGATAAAGAGGAGAAAGAGGAGAAGGAAGACAAGGAAGGAGTTCAAATGGGGAGCAGGTGGAAGCTGTTGAAGACGCTGAAAGAAAAGAAAGCCGAAGAGAAAAGTAATCAGTGCAAATCACCAGCGCAACCAACTGTCGAAACTAATGTGAGTACAAATATATTGTTGTATTTTAGATATCTTTTAAATTACTTTTAATACATAAACTTACAGCTATTAAGAGAAAATTGTGAGACATATTTCATATATTTTTATAATTAAAAAAATTCAAAAACAGGTTACATAAAATTGAGAACATTTAACAAAGCGCATCTTGTGTAGTCTGTTTAGGTATTGACCACTTGGTCCAAACCAACAACACGTGTCAAAAGAACAGTCCCGGATTAAGTAAATATTGTACCGACAATATACAGTTAAGAAATATTTATTTTTTCTTCTAAAATGCAAGTTTAATATATTTTATATCTTTGGATATTTATATATTCTGTATATTTTTATTTTAAGTGTGTCTTTTTTACTTTACGATATGTATGCTGAGTGAGTATATATCAGTTAATTTTTTTTTTTGTAAAATCTTAATTTAATGGATATTTTTATTTTTTATTTTTTATTTTTTTTCACTTTACAGCAATAATAGAGAAGCAGCACAAAGATTAGGGATACAATACAGACAAATAGCATCATCAAGTTACAGATAAACAAAAATAACTATCTTTTTAGTTATTCTTAAATCTATAAAAATAGACATAAGATCAGCCTATAACGCAAAATAAGTGATGGTTTTTACACCAGCTTTGGCTTTACAAAGCTTTGAGAATTATTTAATTATTAGAAGAAAATTATTTTTCCGTTCTTTTTCCATGTGCCATATCTATTAAGATTCCCGACTGTCATAGCAATTTCATCTTTATTTTGAGCTACAGTAAACTAGCGATTATCCGAATCTAGATTATCCTAGTCTCTTGGTTAACCGAGACAAAAGTTGTAGCTAGTAATTCACAATTGCGAACAATTATGCGCTGTTAGGTCGAGCTGAAATATTCGAAATAAATTTTATATTCAGCCTTATTTCCCGAAATTTCTTTGTCGCGTTTTGTCTACAATTATTGTTCCTATGTTATTCAGAGTGAGTGGGACAAGGGTTTATCGATAAAGAAGGTTGCTTCAGATTTAGGTATTGGAGAAACAACTGTTGGAGATTAAAAGCGTAAACGGAATGAAATCAACCAGTGGGTTAACCAAAGTGTGAGTGGTGGTAGTGGATTGACGTGGAAGACCATAAAGAAAGGGAAACCATGAACAAACTTCTAAGGTGTTGTTCTTGTGGTTTTTACAAATGAGAGGATTGGGCAGCCCACTAAGTGATCCAATACTTAAAGTAAAAGCTATTGCATGCCACAAGTAGTTTTTGGATCGTGAAAAAAATTTTTGTGCTAGTTAGGGGTGGATTGATTAATGGAAGAAGAAATGTGGTGTTCAACAATTAAATCTTTGTGGCCGACTTTACTGAAATTGGAACATTTTATTTAAAATTATTTTATTAAAAGACATTATCCTCAAAGATGAACTGACTAAAATGCTTATTTCGAAAACACTAGCTGCTAAAAATGAAGGAATTGCATCAGATTATAGGAAAAGCAATGAGAAAGTCACATTTATGATTTAAAACATTGCTTCTGATTTATTAAAATTAAAGCCTATTTTAAGAAAAAAAATCCAAAAATTCAAGGACATTTCCTTGAAGGACAAGAAATATATCCTAGTGAATTGCTTACCTATAACCTATAAAAACTCAACGCAATGCATGGATAAATTGTAGCGTATTTAAGAACTGGGAAAAAAAATTTGCCTCCGAAAGCTTTGTTGTTGCTGCACAACGCACGATCCTACCCAGACGCGAGTGATTTGATTAGTGGTGACATTAAAAGCGTCGTGTTTCTTCCACTCAATGTGACGTCTTTCATCCAACTCCTAGACCAAGGCATTATAGAAGGAATGAAGAGAAATAGTCGCCAGAGGTTTCTTCAGGTACAGAACAGGCTAGATAAAGGGCTGACTTTGATTGATGCATTGAAGAATATCACAGTTAAAGATGTTTGGTATTGAATTGCATCTGCATAGGACCACGTAAAAATCATTGACAAAATTATTTCAGATAGAAAACAAAACACTGTATATTCAAAAAATAACTAATGACTCTGAAGTTGTCACTATAACCAGCCGAGATATTAACAGTAATATTGACTTGACAATATTCACATACTGAAATGTCTTTCTTAGGAGAAAGTTGGCTTAGTGGACGAAGTTGTTGATATCCAATCTGAGAAGATGGATAGATCGCAGGCATCGGTGGTTTGGATTACTTCCTGACACAGATGCTTATAGGACATGCTTGTTTCAGGGCATATCTGTACAGATTTGAAAAGGCAGAAAATAACAAATACTTGTAGTGTGAAATATCTTATACTGTCACATATACTCTATTGGTAGGCGATAGATAGATAGACGAGAAGAGACTGCTTGAAAGAAAGCTTGGAAAATAAATCAGTCACGAAACTGGAATTAGATGCTTAGATCGTTAAATCGGTGAAGAGCAGGTCACAAGAAAAAAGGCGAACTAAAGGAAGGCAGCTGCTAAGGAGCAAGCAAAACGATGGGGCAGAATGAAAAGGGGCGAGATTAAACAGGAACAGAAGAACAGAGGGAGAGAAGGATTTAGTCGTAGTGAGAAAGTACGAGAATGCATTAGAATTGTGCGTAAATGAAAGATCAAGCAGATTACGTCGATGTTGCGTCTTAACTCAGGGCGGTCCGGTTATTAATTCACGGTTAAGGAGAGTGTTTTGTGGTAGGTAGGTGTGTGGTATTGACGGTGATGGTGTCCAAATAAACAATCTCGGATTTATCGTAGCCTTAATGGAGGAGTCCTGTATAACAGAGACTTTAAGGCGATTCTATCCATCTTTTAGGACCGAGGTATGTTTCGAACATTTTGATCACCCCGAATAGAACACATAAAAAAGGGTACTTAAGCGTAATATTGGTATGACCTAATCAACGTCTAGAAAATTTTACTGGGCGAGTTTTGTTAAGAATTGCTAGGCTCAACAGTTTACTGTCGACTTAACTTCTTTTAATTTAGATTCCGATAAATCCCACTTGCCACGCAGTGATCACTGTTCTTTGGCGAATTGTTTTATATCACTATATATAAAGTTTGGTCGGTCAGATAGCTTAGCGGGCTGTGCGGCTGCCTCTCATTCGATTCACTGTCGAATGGTTCAGTGGATGTGGGATCGAGCCCCAGCTCGGTGTACAGAAAACAAAAAGTCTAACGCAGCAGTTTAAAATTCTAGATGAATCTGCAGCTTAGACGAGGATATGCTGGGATCTGATCGGCCTATGGTGGAGCAGTACGGCAAGAGATAAGGGCTTGCGGCTCGGTGATACTCCTCCATAGATCCCTACCGGACGAGCGTAACGCCTAAAAAAACCGGATATATATATATTATATATATATATATATATATTTATATAATATATATATATATATATATATATATATATAATATATATATATTACCGTAATTCGGGTGACTTTGACTCACTTTCGAAGTTTGAACGTATATTTCAGTATTCTAAATACATAAAAGTATGTTTTTTAATTTATTTGTATTTGAGTCTTTAACTAATTTTTTACAAAAATTACACTAAAACACAACGAAACGCTTACTTTATTACAAAAAAAATAAAAATGTGGTGTGCAAAGTCACCCGGTGGTGTCGGGTGACTTTGTCTCAAGTTACATTTTACATTAATTCTCTGTGATTATTAGTGTTTGGGCTTAAGTCACCCTACAAGATAAATAATAAATAAACATTTTATTAGTTAAAAAAATATTTATTTAAATTTCAAACAAAAAAAACTAAAACTAAAATGAAACTCTACATAGAACCCTAGGTTTACAAAGAACATCATTTTTAAACAAAAAATGAACAATAAAACAATTTACAAGTTTGTTTTTAAATCTGGAAAGAAATATCGATTATGTCCAAGTTCCAATGGCTCTGTAAAATCAATATTACCCAGGTGGTAGGATTTTCTTACGGGCATTTCGGGCCATTGCCACAGACTTCTTTCACCAAGTACCATTACTTGCACCCAACCGTAACAGTTATTACTGCCTCTTACAAATCCATCGAATTTTCCTGGAAAGCTATCGACGTAGTCGGATACAATTACGAAGTCTCCAACTCCAATGGACAGCTTTTCTAGATCAGCATTATTCCTGTAGCTCTTATTAGATCCAGAATCAGACGTAGTATCTGCAATGTGTCCAAAATCTTGTATTTTATTTAAACGTTGTGTTTTTTTTACCGTCTTATATTTAGTCACTTTACTACAGCCAGCTGCAGCAATGGTCGCTTGTCCAGACATATCTTGATATAGGCTACTTTCAAGTACAACTTCGTTACTAACGTCTCCGAGGAGCTCATTTTGTTGTAGATTTTGTTTCTCTGTTTCGCAAATCTGATTATTGGCTTGATTATTCGCCTGTTCAGTTTTATTTCCAATCTTACTTTTTGCTGTTATTCTAGTTTTTGTTTTTGATTTTCTTTTAGTGCCATTTTCTTTTAATGGCTTCTTCTTAGCAGCTTTTATTGCAACTGCAGCCTCTTGTTGGCTTTTAACATCTTCAGCACTTATACTTTTTCCTGCAGCAATTTCTATTTTTCTTTTTCTTTTAACAACTCCATCAGCTGTGGACTGTACTCCCCTTTTTTCTGCAAGAAAATTTAAAACAGCGTCACTTACTCTCGAAGGTACTTGCGTAGCATCAGTTTTATAATTTGGAATTCTAGTTAGTACTTCTTCTGCGTTTAGGGGAAAAATGCCACACTTTCTAAATCCACTTTCCAAATTTTTTCCGCCATTTACACTAATTATGTCAACCAGTTTTTTTAATAGGGTGGGAAAGGTACTTTTTGGGATTAAGTTGGTGTTAACATTCAGTGTTTTGTATTCTACCAAAATATTTCGCCAGGCTATTTTCATCGGTCGAAAGTAGGCGACATCTAATGGCTGTGTTAGGTGCGTAGAATTGGCAGGAAGGCACACGAATTTAATATTTTCTGTTGCACAAAGCTGTAAAACTGTTAATGATATATGGGACGATAAATTGTCACCAATTAACACTT